AAGACCATAAACCGTGGGCAGAGACAGTGCTTTTGCTTCCCCAAACTCTCGACAGCATTTGGGGTCTGCACCTTGTGAAGGGCCGGCATTGTCCCGTTCTTCTGCCAGCTCCTGCTTAGACGGACTCTCCCGGCTTTACCAACTCCACGGCAGGCTGGCGATTGCCTCGGCTTCGGGGCGAACCGATGCTGCATTGGAGGCAGGAAGGGATTTGACCCCCTGCTCAGATGGGTGCAGACTTGGGGGGGGGGTCGCTTTGCTCTGCAGCGGGGCACGGCCTCTGCCTGGGGTCTCTTGAGCATCTATTCACCCCTTCGCAGCAGCAGGACACTGGCTGCCAGAGACCCCGTGCCAGGGGTGATGCCTGCTGCGATGTCGGGGTGATGGCGTTGTTTCCGGACATGGGGTTTGTCTGGGATGGTTTGCACGGGGCAGCCCCCCCGGCTCGAGGATGCTTTGCTTCTATGCCAGGTCCCTGGTCTCCCGGGCAGGCAAAACAGGGGGAGGAAGGTGCGGTGCCGGAGCACGGAAACGCCCCGTTAACATTGGGATGGAGCGCCAGCAAGGACTGCCTGCGCCCTGGGCTCCCTGCCCACCCCCGTGCCAGCAATCCTGCACCGCTAGTGATCTGCAACAGGCGTGCCGCGGAAAGTTTTTATTCGTCTAAGTGCGCGCTGGGTTGGAAAAGGTTGGGAAAAACCCTGCTCTCCAGGTCCCTTCCAGCCCCGCTCCCCCAGGACCAAGCCTCCTGGCTCTGCCGAGCGGTCCCCCCACCGCTCCGGGGTCGGGCTGGGAAGCAGAGGGGCAACGGACGGGGAGGGCTGCGGGCAAAGCACCCGGCGCCAGCGCTCACCAGGTACCGGCGGGCGCTGGCAGGCATTAAGGAGCACTGGCAGGTGTTGGGGAGTACTGGAGGATACTGGGAAGCACTGGAAGGCACTGGGGAGCACTGCAGGGTACTGGGAGGCACTGGCAAGCATTAGGGAACACTGGAGGACACTGGAAGGGCACTGGGAAACACTGGAGCACTGGCTGGCATTAGGGAGCGCTGTGGCACTGGCAGACATCGGGGAGTACTGGGGGATACTAGGAAGCACTGGCAGGCACTGGGGAGCACTGGAGGATACTGGGAGACAGAGGATACTGGAACTGGGGGATACTGGGAGGCACTGGGAGACATTGGGGAGCACTGCAGAATACTGGGAGGCACTGAAGTACTGGAGGATACTGGGACTGGGGGATACTAGGAGGCATTGGGGAGCACTGGAGGATACTGGGAGGCACTGGCGCCCAGCCCTAGGGACCTGGCCCAGCCCGTCCCAGGGGCACACCTGGCCCACCTGCCCTCGCCCCCCCCCTCCCCGCACGCATGCGCACGCGCAGTTCAGCGGCACTATATCTCCCAGCACGCCCCGCGGCCGGAAGCGCCCCTCACAGTTCCCAGCGGCGCAGCGTCTCCTCCAGCAGCGTCCCGTCGCCATGGCTCTTCTTCCGGGCGGGCCGCTTCCGGTGCGCTCCCGTGCGGTCCGGCCGGGAAGGCTGGGGGGAGCTGTTGGTTCCGCGGGCGGGGAAGGGGGAGCAGGCTCCCCCGGAGCCCCGGGCACGCAGCTGCAGTGCGGCACCCCGGCTGCCAGGGCCCAGCAAGGGCAGGTGCGGAGCGGCGCGGACACTCCTTGCCCCCCGCCCCCCCCCGCCAGAAAGGAGGGGGGCGGGGTGGCCACCCCCCCAGGCCGAGCGACAAGGCCCAGGTCCTGCTGGCAGGCACCGCGGGGAGCAAGGGCAGGCGTTCATCCAAACAAATAGTTAATGGTGAATCCACGAAAGTCACCCGGCAGACGAAAGAGTTATCGTATTTAACAAATGCCCCATCGCAGACGACACCCCTCCATCATTGACGTTGCATCCAATCGCTGCGGTAGTCCGGTGGGTTTTGAAAGCATAACAGCGACGTGCGTTTACCTTCCTGACAGCCCTCGACACCCCGCAGCGGTCCGCAAGCACGGGGCCACGTTCGCCGGGCGCGGCGCGGGCACGCTGGCTTTCCCGAAATCTCCCTGAATAGATTCGGACAGCGCTAGCGATCCTCGTCCCACTGCTCGCGGCTCGGCGGGGCCTCGTCTCGCCCCACGCGGGTTTCATAGATGGTCGGGTCGGAAGGGACCTCAATAGATCATCGAGTCCGACCCCCTGCATAGGCAGGGAAGAGTGCTGGGGCTAGATGACCCCAGCTAGATGCATATCCAACCTCCTCTTGAAGACCCCCAGGGTCTAAGAAGTCACTTCAGTCTCAATCCTTTGATACTTTATTATAAACTGAACTCTTTCCAGCTTAACAACGGGTTTTCCCCCCCCAGACTGAGCATAGCTAAAAGAGCTGCAGGCTCTCTCAGCATTATTGCTTCATCGAAAAATAATTTGTTTTCCCTCGCTTCCGCAGCCTGAAGAGGTCCATGTGCCCCAGTCTCTCCTCGTAGGGCTTGGTCTGTAGGCCCTTAACCATACGAGTGGCCCTTCTCTGGACCCTCTCCAGGTTATCCGCGTCCCTCTTGAAGTGCGGCGCCCAGAATTGCATGCAGTACTCCAACTGCGGTCTGACCAGTGCCCGATAGAGGGGAAGTATCACCTCCTTGGACCTATTCGTCATGCATCTGCTGATGCACGCTAACGTGCCATTGGCTTTTCTGATGGCTTCGTCACACTGCCGACTCATGTTCATCTTGGAGTCCACTAGGACTCCGAGATCCCTCTCCACTTCCGTGCCACCCAGCAGGTCATTCCCTAGGCTGTAGGTGTGCTGGACATTTTTCCTCCCTAGGTGCAGCACTTTGCATTTCTCCTTGTTGAACTGCATTCTGTTGTTTTCTGCCCACTTGTCCAACCTGTCCAGGTCTGCTTGCAGCTGTTCCCTGCCCTCCGGCGTGTCCACTTCTCCCCACAGTTTTGTGTCATCTGCAAACTTGGACAGAGTACACTTCACTCCCTCGTCCAAGTCGCTGATGAAGACATTAAAGAGTATCGGTCCCAGGACCGAGCCCTGCGGGACCCCACTGCCCACACCCTTCCAGGTCGAAACCGACCCATCCACCATGACTGTCTGGGTGTGACCCTCCAGCCAATTCGCCACCCACCGGACTGTGTAGTCATCCAAGTCACAGCCTTTGGAAACGCAAGGGCGTGAGGCCCCTGCTCCTGGTTTTCTTTACAAGATTCCTCGCGGACAGCTCGCTCGGTTTTTTGGGAGGAGAAGAAAACTAGCAATAAAATCCTCAGCAGCAAAGGCAAGTAAATGGGGATAAGCTTGTTTATTAGTGATAAACTCTTCTGAACAATTTTATTAAGATTTCCAGACAAGAAAAAATAGCAACAACTGTCATAAAATGGTATAAAGAATCCTTCGAAAAAGTAAAAGCAGCTCAGTTGAACAGAATTGCATCTGGCATGATGCCATACCGGTAAACTCTTTAAGGCACCTAGAAAAAGCAACAAAACAGCAACTGGAAAAGTCACCGGTGCATTATTTGCTACTAGAAGTTTAGTTTGGGGTCTGTCCAAACTGAGAACCTGAGACATTTAGGAGCGGGCTCCCGTCTTCAACACTTTTTAAAAAGGCAACTTGAAATATTAAGTCTGCAGTCGGAGAAAACAACAAGTTTTAACTGGCACCTATACAGCTCGCAACGGGGAAACCATTGCAATTGTCTTTAGGGATCCAATCCCCCTATACTGGTTAAAATAACAATATTGCAACAAATCAATAAGTGGCAGTGAACTGTTAGGGCAAAGCTTGGACCGTCTCTGCAAAGGGAACCCAAACTACCTCTCTTAGTGAGAATTCACAATACAGCGCTTTTCAGATGCATGTAACCCAGCTCGGTAAATCCAGGCTTGGGGACGTGCAGTAATCAAGGGAGATCATAACATCCTCAAATGTAGTAAGTGAGCGTGTGGTTTATAGAATACTCTCACTTTGAAAGGCTTGTGAATATAGCACATCTCAAAAGATCCGACTTCCCACTCAATTTGATCCAAAAATCTGGAACTTACTCAAGCCTAGCTTCTGGCTCTGAAATTACAAAACGTTTGGCCTGAGAGGTTTTCTAAAGGAAAACACGGTTCCACTGACAATCACAAACTGTGCTCCTGTACCAGCAAGAACTCACCGTGGCCCCCGACTGCTGCAGATCCTTCATGCGAGAGGAAAAAACAAAAAAAAACCCCAAAAGTGTGGGATGACATTTGCCCAAGCCCAACAAGACAGGAAAATGTTAAAAAGGGATTGAGGGGAAGACCAGGTCCTCAGCTGGGGATCCCAGGATGGACATGACAGTAAACATACCTCGACACAGACAAAAAGGCTGAGCCCTGATGTGCAAGTGCATGTGTTTCTGCAGTGCGCACACATGCCGAAAAGCAGCCACTCAGCACCATATTTGCATGGCCTCCAAAAAAGGAGCAGGAAGTGGTTTTGGTGCTGAGGTAGTTACATCACTACAACCAGAGCCACATCACGTTGTGTTAAAGCAGCCACAAGAGCAGCTTCCCTGGTTGAGTGCTGAAATGCATTGTTCCACCTTGTCTACGTGCGCTCTCACCGAAACTCTTGGCTTCACTCGCTCTCCTTGCAACCCCTTGCAGGGTGTTCGAGGGGGCCCGAAGCTATCCTGTCAGAGGGGCAGACGTGCCTCTTTGGGTTGAAGATTACAGTTTTGGTATCACTACAATGGCGAAGCTTAGAAGACTTGGTGATAGGATCGGGCTCATTTTCTTGCTGCGTATGAAAACACTGACAGCAAGGGAGAATATGAAGCATCATTATATCTACAGAAAATGTGCAGAAAGAACATGCTTATACTATGGCTTGCCAAATCGCCCAGGAGATGCACGCAGATACCTCCCTGGACAGGTCAGTGAAGGGGAATGGCTTTTTTTTTTTTAACCCTTCAAATGCACCAGAATGTATAAGACAACTGCATTATAGGCTTAAGAAACAGTATTGTACACAGGTTGGTTCCCCAAAATCTTTGTGCTTCTGATGCATCAAACCCTCGATGCTTGTGCATCACATTTTGGTCCTGAATCAAGTACAGTGGAGGCAGCTGAACTGCCAGCAGCTCACTGACTTGAAAAGCATCGGAGGTACCAGAATTCACCTTCCAAGGAGGGATCAGTATAGCTCAGCAGGTTATGGCGAGACCCGGTGCTGCCCTTCTGTGATCTTCCATTTCTCTGCTGTATTAACCTACTCTCCGATCCCGTTTGAGGGCAGCAGCTGCTCTCCAGGCAGCAATGCACTGGGAGAGGAGAATGTCTTCTGGAAACAGCTCCTCCAGCTCTGTAGGTATGATGCTGTCTTTTGTTTCCAGGTAGGAAATGAATGCATCCTTCAGCCTGGAAAAAAAACAGGAAATGTACAGTTACTAACAGAACTTAAGCTGCACATTGGAGGGCCACAGTTTGTTTTAATATATGCATCAGCATTCATCGATAAACCTGCAGCATTACACATCTTCTATAGTGAGGAGAGCTAAATGGTGCTGCAGGTCAGGGTCAAACAACACTGGCAGTCCCCCAGAAAAGCTCTAAGATGGAAGCAGCGGGGAGGGTTGCAGTTCTGGGTTAAGGTACAAGAGCGGAGCTGTGCATGGGAAGCCAGCCACATTCGCCTGCTATGCCTGGGTTTGCAAAGTGCCTGCTCCAGAAACCAGTGACACCAGACACGCTGCTCTATTGTACTGAGTGTGCGAGCACAAAGAAGTCACCTGGGTCAGAGGGCGAGGAAAATGTCTTAACATCATAGAAGCAATAGGGCTGGCAGGGCTCTCAGGAGGTCACATCTGGTCTGACACCTTGCTCAAGGTAGGATCAGCCCTGCCTGGACCAGCTCCACTAAGCTCTGGTCAAGCTTGCACTTAAAACTTCTATGGGTGGAGACTCCAGCTCCCCTCTTAGCACTGGCTGGATTTTCAGTGCAGGTGCTTGGTGCTTCCCGTGCAACTGGGAAGGCACAAACGGAGGGAATTCTCTACCCCTTGGAAAGTGCACAGAAAGGGGCGAAGCCTAACTCAGGGCTATGCCGGCCATTACCCCCACTTGGAGTTAAACTCATTCCCAGCCTGGGCGTGTTTCAGCTTCAGGACGATCATCTCGTGCAGCTCCTGCAGGAAAGCCTCGAGCCCGGCTTGCACCAGGCAGGCGCTGAGACGCTTGGCATCCTCTGCTCCAAGCTCCTCTTTGTATTCATCACTGATGTCGGCAAAGGGGTCCTGGGGGCAGCGGGAAAAAGATGTGCCCACATGAGCGGTTGCATTGGGAGGGGAGGTACAACTCCGAGCAGACACCGCGGCCTCAGAGCTGCTCTTACCTGCTTGAGCCGCAGCAGCTGCTCTGACTTGTGGGTGGAGAGGAGCTGCCAAAGGGCGATGCTGTGTTTCAGGCTGCACCGGCTCAGCGCCTGGAAAGAAGCAAGCGGCGCTGGATGAGAGGACGTCGGCCTGGAAGCCTTGCTCTCACCCCCTCCCTGCTGGGGCTGCAGCAGAGCCCTGAGGCTCAGCTGGATAGGAGCACGAGAGGAAGACCAGGATGGGGCTGGTGCTGGCCGAGCAATAGTCCCCAACGGGCTTTTTCGGGACAAGCTGCCATGACCCCTGAGCTGGAGTCCACCCATGCACCCTTCAGCAGGCAGCTTCCATCTGCCGCCAGCAGCCTGCTCCTGAAACCTCTGGCAAGGGGGCGAGAAGGCCTGGAGGGTGGATTCAATGATGTGTGTCCCGGAGAGCAGACAGACCTCTTCCCCCTGTCTCTACACTGAGCCTCTTCTTGCATACAACTGGGATCGCAGAGACCAGCCCACAGGTCGTGCTCTCCCTCAGAGAGAAGGGATATGTGCGATGCTGCTCAGTGCCAGGCAGCCCAGCGTCAATGGAGGTGTTTCCTGCTGTTTGCTTTTCCTTGGGCTCAGTGCCAGCCTCATGCCCAGCACTTCTGCCTCCTTGCCCTGTCCTTCCTGGCAGCCTGGTGGGGGCATGCAGAGCAAGGGACCTCCTCACAGCGCACACCTGCCCCCAGCCCTCCCATGAGGCTCTAAAACATGAGCTGGCTGAGTCTATGCGCCTTGTGTGCCTGCAGGGAAGCAGCCCCCAACCCACTCTGCAGCAACCAGGAGTGTTTAAGGCTGGGCTGCGGGTGGGCTACAGAGACCAGCCCAGCCAGAGCTGCAGTGTATGTGGACTGACCCGTGTCAGGGGGCTCACCTGAAGCACAGGGGGGCTCGTGTCACCCATCTGCAGCACATCCTGGACGTAGGTGATGAGGAGCATGTCCGCGTCCCCGCCGGCTGTGGCCAGGAAGCCCAGCACCACATCGATGACAGAGAGGGCTTCGCAGATGTCATTGAAGGACTGCAGTTCCCCGGTGATCATGCTGATGGTGGCGTTGGGCAGGGAGCCCTGCAATGGGAGGGACAGGGGGAATCATCACGGGGCTGCAGCCTTCCGTGGCACTCCTCTTGCACTGCTGGGACCCCGATGTCCCAAATCCAGGGGTAAAACCCAGAAGTGCAGGGAGCTGAACCATAGATCCTGGCTTGGGAGGCAGGGTCTATGCACAGGAGTGTAATGGGGGCACAAATGAGTTAAACTGCTCTGGGACCGGCTCCTCCAGCTCCTGGGGGAACACCCCTTGCTCTCCAGGTAGGAGCAGCCCCTCCCTGGCCACTCGCTGCTTCTCCAGGCTCAGGGACTCACCTGTCCCAGCTTGTTCCTGATGTCATTAAACAGGTGCTCGTAGTTCCGGTCGTGCCTGTACACCAGGGTGGGGATCCCCTGTCGGGAGAGAGCAGGCAGCCTGGGGTGAGCCTGGCGACAGCCCACCCCAGCTGCACAACATGCCACGCTGCCCCGGGCGGCTGGGGAGGAGGCAGCCAGAGGCCTCCCTGCTCCTCACCGTGCGGGTGATGATGGGCTTGCCCTGCAGGAACCTGCTGACCACCTGCTTCTGGATCTTCTCCAGGTCGAACTCTTGCAGCGTCTCCCCGCCCTTCTCCACGCTGTACTGGGCATTGGACAGGATTAGAGGGATCAGGTCCCTCTCCACCTCGTAGCTGATCACGTGCAGGTCGGCCACTTCCGAGGGGCTGATGATGTACCTGGGAAAAGGGGGAACCGCTGGCTGGGTTACGAGCAGAGCCATGGAGCGGGATGGGACCAGAGGAAAGCAGTGCCACACGGCCACATACTTGTTCTCCTCCTGCGTGTGCTTCTCCACGCTGTGGACAAAGTCGTTGTGCAGGCCGATGAGGTAGCTGACCAAGGCCGTGGCACACAGGCCCAGCCCCCGCCTGCGCGGCAGCAGGATTTCAAACGGGCTCCCCAGGGTCAGGTCGTCATCACAGTAGTCCTTGGGAAGCTTGATTTCCCCTGCGGAGAGGCAGAGAAACCCGTCAAGGCAGGGCTGCAGCCACCGCGCTCAGCTCTTGCCCCCAAAAGAGCCCAGGGAGTCTGTCGTCCGGCAGCCGGGATGAAGTGTAGGGCATGGCTGGTTTGGCAGCTCCCCACGGGCATAAGGAGGGGATGACAAGGCAGGGAAGAGTTTGGAAGGGGAAGCCAAGTCCTCTATTACCAGGCCCTTCGTGCCTAGGTCAGGCCTCCGGCTCCAGCTCTCAGCACCAGCAATGAGAAGAGCAACAGAAAAGGCTCACCCAGCACCAAGCCATCTCACAAGCCTGGGAGCAAAGACAAGCGGAGCAGGACACTCACCGTTGGTCTCCAAGGATCTCCTGAGCTTATTCCACACCGACAGGAACGTGGTCACTTGGCTCTGGAGCAGATTCCTCATCACATCTACAGGACACGAGGAAGAGGAAACCTCAATGCACGCTTCCTCCTGGCCTTTGTCGGGCTTCCCCATCCCGCCTGCCTAGGCTCTCACAGCATGCTAGGGGACGTGGGCTAACTGGGCAGAGCTAAAACTACATGAAAAGTTTAGGACAACTTTCCTCATAGCAATAGCTGTGGCTGTTAGACTCTCTCTGCTAGAAGTGTTGGCCATCACAACGGTTGAGATTCCACATCTGCCCTTGCCGAGCTTGTAGTAATAATTCACCTGGCCTGCCCACGTCGTCCCCTCCTTATGCCCGTGGGGAGGCCAGGAGAGCTCTTGTGCAAGCCATGTGTACTCTTGTCCTCTCAAGGCCAGGACGACTCTTTCAGGCACCAAGAGAGCGAAAGGGTGAGTAGCCTTGTGGGGCCAAGGCATGTTGTCCATGTTACTGGGCTCATAATATGCTTTTCTGCTTAGGACCATCCACCTTCACCCTATAACGCCCAGGGCTGCCAGCCCCTGCCTGCAGTTTCCCCAATACTCTGTGCTTTGCTATCTACCCCCTGGAAGCCTTCCACCTCAACCAGCCTGGAGCAGAGCCCTACCCGAGTGGGACTCTCTCAGGAAGTCTTGCATCGTGCAGCATTTCACATCCGTGACGTTCTGGAACCTCTTCACCAGGCCTCTCTGCAGAGCCAGGATATCTGGCAGGAACTTCACCAGTCGCAGCTCCCCTTCCTGGAAAGAGAGGTGAGAGGAATCAATAGCAAACGGTGCCGCTGTGCCTGGGGTGGGGGGTTGAGACTCTGCCAAGGGCAGGGCAGGTGAGCAAAGGTCCCACAGGTCTCCAGGTAAAGCTCAGGTGGCTCGACTTGTGCTCTGCAGCCTTCACCTGCGACGTTACGGATGGAAGCAGAGGGCATCAGCCAGGAGCCCTCCGATACGGAGCACGCACAGGGAGTGAAACTGCGCCTTTGTCTCTTGGGTGGAGAGTGCATCACCTCTAAAGGGACTTTGGCAACTCACGGCACCTGGAGCCGACCTTGACAGCTCCCCAGTCTACTCCAGGCTCTGCCTGCAGCGACATCTGCTCTGTGGGGCAGGCTTATTGCCCCAGTATCTTGCATCCGGTACAAGCACTGTCTCCGGTGCCCGGTCCTAGCCTGCCTTAGAACTAGTACCAGACACCTGCTTTATGCTCTGCAGAGCTGCCTCCCACAGGGATGCGCATGCTGGCAGAGCCCAGGTCTGAGCAGAGGGACTGCACGTTTAATCATCTCGCTGCGCTATTAGCAGGAAAGGCGCCTTCTGCTCTCCTTCTCCCCTCCCTCTTTAAAAGGGACGCGTGCTCACACACCATGGTTTCATACTAAACCAGAGGCAGTGGGGAGCTGGGGAGGCAAGCTAGTTTCCACTCCCTTGATGTCAGAGACAAAGCTTGATGTTCCCCTGCTCTTGACGAGGAGCTGACAGCAGTTTTCCTTCTCCAGATCAAGCCCACCACAGTCATCAAAGAGCTGAGAGGAGAGGTGCGACGTGCAGCCGGCTGCCTCCCTTTGGGTAGCGATGAGGGACTGGGTCTCAACCCCTTGCACCTCCAGAGACGCGAGCGCAGACCTGGGCACACTCACCTTCTGCAGGAACTTCCACAGGAGGGGCACGGCGTCCTTGCCGTCCCACTGCTGCACCATGTGCCCCAGGTTCTCCAGCGAGATCCTCTTCCTGCAGCTCCACATCTTCGAGCAGTGCACGGCGCTGTCCGTGGGCAGCCGACTCAGGAAAGTCGTGGGGTCGCCGTAGACGATTTTCACCACCGGGCTGGAGCAGATCCTCTCGTCCGTGCTGATTTGCCTGTTTAAATCCTGAAGGGTGCGGTCCAAACACTGCAGAGCAGAAGACTGTGCATCAAACCCCTGCCCGTCTGCTCCGAGGAAGAGCAGAGGAACGTGGACCGGTCAAGCCCTGGGTGTCTCCGGCCAGAGGGGCAGATTGTTATTGGCTCCTCTGCAGAGAGAAATAATCCTGCAACAATCCTGCCTGCCTGAGCTCCTGGGGAAAGACCACTTCTCCCTGGTGGCTCAACAGCTGTTGACATGGAAGGAAGTCACCCTAAACAGGCTCAGAAACTCACAGGCAAGGCAAACAGCAACCCCCGATACCGGCCCGATGACTCTCCCTTCACTCTCCCCCAACTCCCAGCTCCTGTTCCCCATGTGCTGTCCCAGGGAAGGTCAGAGAGGGCACTTCATGCTGCCACACAGCTAACCTGACTCCCCAACTTCCCTGCATGGCTCAAGACACCTCTTTTCCTGCCATCAGATCCCGGTTGCATCCCAGATACTGCCTGCCCCATTCCCAGGTGGCTGCCTGACAAATACCACAGGAGAGGAAAGGTGTGCAAGGACGTGGCTGAACACAACCGAGCCCTCCTGCCTGGGCAGGCAGTTCTGTGTCCTCCAAAAGGCAAAAACAGGCTGGGTTCATACTTGGATGTGGGTCTGTAATTTGGCAGAGGCTTCAAGTTGTGAACAGCCTGCAGGCAGCTCGGGTGCATGTCTGGATGGACACCCAGGGATGGGAAGCAGGTCTCACCTTTAACTCAGGAATAACAACAGTGTTTGCAATGATTCCTTCCCAGGTGTTTCTCGCTTGCTTGGTGGAGAGCGTCCCGTCAAAGCCAACTGGCCCTGCAAGAGGAGCATTTACCGCATGTTACCATTACAAGACATCAGGAGGGAACAGGCTGGCATCTCAAACTCCCAAGATCTCCCCATAGGGGCACAGCATCCTTGTGAGCTAGTCGGCATGTGAGGACCACTAACAGTACGAGGGACCCCGAGACCTAGACAGGTACCCACCCCTGCCAAATGGTCCAGCCAGCACAATACTGCACAGTCAACATGGCATCAGAAATTTCCACCTGTTTCACTTGAAAGGGAGACAGACATTTTCCAAATGGCCACACAAATACAAGGAGATTAAGGGACTTTGCCAAGGTCGCTGCATAAGACAGTGGAAGAAGCAAGCACAGACACTGGAGCCTGGACTCCCAGCCCTGGGCTCCAGCACTAAGGTTTTGCTTTTGCAAGCCCACACTGCAATCTGCTGCTAGCCCATAATGACCCGAGATGCAGATTCCCCTAAAGATCATCCTTCATCAGCTGCCTCCCCAGATGCTTTTAGTTTTGGAGGAGGTGTGTACACATCACAGTGCGTGACTTGTTGGGACTTATACAACCTGCTGCATTTCTTGATCCTCTCCAGGCCCTTTCAGGAAAGTGTGCAATTAGGCATGCAACAAGCCCAAGTAGTAATTTAACAAGCCCCCCTAAGCCCTGGGCAACTGGGAAAAAAGGAGAGGGAAGCAACCAGCAGCCTTGTACTGGGTACCAAGGACCTGGTCTCGGAGAAAGCCCTGGATCCCCACCCAAGCTCATGCAGTTGGTGGAGAAGCCAGGCAAGTGCAATGCTTGCAACAGTTTCCTGAGGGAGGCCTCCACATTGCTGCCCATTCTTTCCCTTACACTGGTTTGGGTGCTGGTGGGGGTCCTTGAAGAGGCTGCCCAGGATGACGTGCACCACGTTGACAGTCTCATCGGCACTCTTCCCCAGCGTTTTGATCAGCTGGGTCAAGTCCTTCTGCATGTGCGCCAGGAAGAAACTCACTGGGTCTGGAACTGGCGGCTTAACAATCCTGTTCAGGGACTTGAGGAACAAACATGAGACAAAGGTGAGAGTGTGACCAGCGCACCATTCTGGTCCGACGCAGTTTCAGGGCTGCATCAGTCGCTCCTATTGGAGCCTCGCCCTTGAGCAGGCCCGTGCTGGGGTCTACCTAGGTGAGGGTCAAATCACAGTTAACACTGGGGAAAGCCACTGCCCTGGAAGTGCTGTTCTGCCCTCTCCTCCTCATGGCATTGCAAAACCATTCAGAGCACAAGACTTCGCGTGTCTGAAGGTTCCCAACAAACCAATGGGGTTGTTTCCACCCGTCATAGGAGACTGGAACAATCCTTTCCCCAGCCCCACTTTGTGGCTGAAACGTAGCAGGCACCTTGCTGGGCAGGGACACTCGTCCACAGAGTGTCTGCTTCACTACCTACCAAGTGCAATAGTATCAGCCGTAGCCCTGAGGAGGGAAGCAGACAGGCTGAAAGCCCCTCAAGCTGAGGAGGGGTCACAGCTTACTCCTCTCATCCTGCATGAATCCCCTAACCCCCAAGCTATTGGGTCCATGGGGGACCCGCTTCTGTTTTATGAATCCAGCCTGGAAACACGGTATGTCAGCCAAGCCGATGCAAAGACTAGGACCACCTGCCAAAAACCCAGTGCTGGAAGGTGGAGGCAGCACTGACTGGTGGGCGAGATGTTGCTAAACTCCCCCTTGGCATTTCCTTTATGCAGGAAGGCATCGCCAACAGTGTCTCATACCTGGGGGTCTTTTGTGGCTCCCAGCAGCATCGCCGAGTGCATGAGCAAGCGGATGACAAGACAGACAACAGGGGACAGCGCCCTTTCAGACACCCCGAGCGCATCTCTGTTTCTGGGGTCTCCGAGCACGTGGCCAGTTTGAGTCCGGTCAGTCCTTTGCCTGCAGGAAATTATGCACAGTGAATGCTGCATTCAGACACACGCACAAGCAGAGCAAGACCGGCTGGAAACCCTGTTCTACCAAGGCCCTGCTGCCAGGTAAGCACCTTGCCCTTGACAGGGGCAGGAGGAAGATATGCAGAGGGGTCTCAGCAGATTTACTGCCCCAGCACATTTCACACTGGGATAGCCCAATTCCCTTCATCTGTCAGGTGGGGGCTACCAGCTCCCCCAGGGCACCTCTGCCCAAAGCCTCTTTCATGCAGAGGTACCACACAGCTGCTAGCTTAAGAGTCACAATTTGTCATTATGTTCCAGGTAGGTCAGAGACCTGCGCTCTCTGCATTAAAAGGTCCATTCAGTAGCACCTGATAAAGTAGGCTGTAGCCAACAAAAGTACATGCTTCTCTGAATGCCTTCTGCCCAAAATTAAAGAGTGCTGGGAAATGCCAACCAGGCTGTGCCAAAGGGGGAAAGGGCAAATCCCAGCCCCAGCATGTTCTGGCAAGGCAGGCGCTCCATACTGAAAGGTCAGGCTACGGCTGCTGAAGAAAAGTGGAACATAAAATACATCACATCTTACAATGCGAAAGAGGTGAAAGAAATCAAAACATACTGAAGTGGCTGAAAGCCTTCCAGGGACTTGTGATTTAAACCTCCGATCTCAGCATTGCACTCGATGCAACGACTGACCTGCATGGGTCGACCGCACTGGCAAAGGGAAGGGAAGGGACACACATGAACAAAACTCCAGACACATGCAGGGAAGCAGCATTTCCAATGCAGGGACACAGTGTGAATAGAGACAAAGCCCAATCGCGGTGTGGAGAGATGGTTACGGTGGGTTATTATTTTTTTTTTTTTAAATAAGACAGTTGGGAAAAGCAAGACAGTGGTTTAATAGAAAGAACCCTAATCCATGTCTGTCCATTAAAATCACAACTTGCTTCTGAAGGCAGAAGCACCTTTCCAGGACACAAATCCAACATGCAACCCATTAATTAGAAAGCTACTCTCCGCTGATATAGGCTGCATTGCAAGGCTCAGCACAATGGCCATTTTACTGTGCAATGCTCTAAAAGTTGCTAATATTAGTAAAGGTAAAGTCCAAACAATGGGCTACTACTAACAGCAAAGAAAGCCACGTGGGTAGTGTTTAAAGAACCAGCTTACAGAAAAAAAAGCTACTGTCCGCCCCAACCTCTTACCTCTCCAATAGTGCACGGGTGGCCGTTCGCGCATGCTGTTGGAGAAAAAGAAGACAACAGGATGGTGCTGTGAGCCCAATGACTACCCTCTACATGCACTTGTATTCGGAAAGCCAAGATGCCCAACTCCAATGGACGGGGATCTTGTTCCAACCTCTTACCTCTCCAATAGTGCACGGGTGGCCGTTCGCGCATGCTGTTGGAGAAAAAGAAGACAACAGGATGGTGCTGTGAGCAACAGGATGGTGCTGTGAGCCCAACGACTACCCTCTACATGCACTTGTATTCGGAAAGCCAAGATGCCCAACTCCAATGGACGGGGATCTTGTTCATGGGCACAAACAAATCATGTTGCTGCCTGCCCCGAAGCCAGGAGTGCTTCTGTCGGTACCAACAGAAACAGGAGAAAAAAAGGAGAAGGAAGCTCTGGGGGCTTTGCAAGCCCAAGCAATAGGGCCTGGCAAGCTTTTGGAGAGGCATGCAGTTTTGTTTCCAAGCTGTGATACCAATGAGCCAGGAGGGCCACGTTCAGCCAACAGACTCGGGCGACACTCGCACTTCTGCATGACGGCATCCAAGGGAGCGTGAGCTCGAACCTGCCTGCGCCTGGGCCAATGTGGGGCATAACTGACCCTGAGCTACGTGGCCTGAGTCACGCTGCAAAGACAGCCGAGGTATCCCTGCCTGGGGGACAGGACTCTCCCAAGAGCAACCCCTCCAAGGCAGCCTGGCCTTTCCCCGGGTTTTTAATAACCGATCGAATCTCACCCTGCTCCAGCAGCTGTTTGGGGATACTCACTGTACCAGTGCAGCTGCGTCATTCCCTCCCACTTGATGGCTTGATCTGTCAGGTCTTCAGGCATCGTAGGCAGGAAAGCACGCTGAGGACCAAAGCAAACACGTAACCAAACACTGCTGCAGCTCAAATGTCTGGGGGGGCCCTGCCAGGCTCCTTGCATCCTTTTTCATTGTGGGGTGGAGAGAAAGGATGACCCCCCAGCCCCAGCCTGCTCCTTGCTGCCAGGAGCCATCACTCCCTGAACGTCAGCTCTCCCCAGGACAATCCTCCAACAGTTTTCTTATGTGCTATGATGAGCAGCGGGCAATGCTGACCACTGATGTAGAGATGAGATGAATGGGACAGCTCAGATCTTGGGGGACACGGCCGCAGTATAAAGCCACCTGATGCAGGGGCAGACTGTGTGAGAGCCCCAAGCTCGGAGGTCAAGGAAAGCTCCAGACAAGCCCACTCCCCTCACCTGCATCGAGCTGGGATTGAAGGCCAGGTTCCTCAGGGGCTCCAGGATCGGGTTCTGCCCACACAGCAGGACGGCAGCCATGTGAACAGCCATCTCAATCAGCGTCCCGTCGCAGGTGAAGCGCGGGGGGTTCAGGGCCAGCGACGGGATCCTGTTCAGCACCAGGGCAGCTGCAAACTCCTTCTGATCTGCTGAGGCCAGGGCTTCACAGCTCTGGATGAACTTGGTCAGAGCGTCGCATTGCTAAAGGCAAGCGTGAACAAGAAGCCAAGTAAGCACAAGACGGCAGCTGCTTCGTGCACTGTACCGTCAGGCGCAACAGCTCTGGGATGAGGAGGACATGGTACTCTATCTACTATAGCTGACCCTTCAGACTGCAGAGGGGAAAATGCCTTTAGGGCTGAACTATCAGCTCAGAGGGGGGAGACATGGGGTAGCCCCCTGCTCGGCCACACACTTCCCATGCAACTTTGGGCAAGTCGCCAAGGACCAGGTCCAGAAAGATATTTAGGTGCCCAAATCTACCAGCCCAGACACCTGGGATCTGCCATTTGTCAAAGGCAGTAAGCTCACTTCCCTACTTCGCGCGGGCATCGAGAGGGTTTCTACACGTGGTCAAGACCGCAAGGACGCAGCGGGGATGGGAGCCACGTAACCCGCTAAGTGCTCAGATTTCTCACCAGCCAGTCTCTGCCCAGATGCCCTCAGACATGCGGGACAGCAAAGGAGAGGGCATTTCCCACGACTGAGACCCAGAGTTTGCCCCCACTGCTCAGGAACAGCCAAGTGCATTGCCTTCCCCCTCGCAAGCTGCCAAAGGAACCAGCATCTCACCTCCTGCTTGGGGTGGAGACTTGGGTTCCTGCATCCGTATAGAACTGTGACCTCTCGGAAAATGGCCAGGAGCAGGTGAATGGCTTGTGCAGGTTTGGGGCTGTTACATGCCTGAGAAGGAAAAGCAGCAGGTCAGGCAGTGGATGCAGAAGCTGCATCTGTAGCTTTCTCTCATGCGTGTTCCCACCAGCCCCGGAGGGCTCAGATCACCCGTTGCCACAGAAGCTGGCGTGCAAGGGAATGAGTGCAAGCTGCACGTGGGACAGCGCATCTCGGCCTAGCAGTCCCTCTCTGCCGCTGGAGGACTGCGTGGATGTCCTCTTGAGTTCCTCCTTGCCGGAGGCCCAGACAACATCACCGGGCACCTAAACACCACTGGGCACCCAAAACACCAGTCATGCTGACTTGTTCCCATTTCCTGGCAGGTTCAGTCTACCTGCCATTCATCTCCTGTCCCAATATTTACTCAAGCCTGAAAACTACTAAATATTTACATTCCTGCAGCAGGCAGAGGCCCCGAGATGCTAGGTGCTGCGTGGACAGAGGAAGACTCACCACCTTCCTTAGAAAGCTTGCAGTCGAAGACATTGAGACATATAGGAAGGCCAAAGCAGGAGGGAAAGTCATGTCCTACATCAGCGTCTGGATGCTCACCTTGCTGGGGTCATCTGCCCCCCAGCAGTCTTTCCTGCCCAAGCACAGGGGGGCTGGACCTGATGATCTCGAGAGGTCCCTTCCAGCCCCTAACACCTACGAATCTATAAACCAGCCCATTTTTGTCACACCCAAGGGCAAACAACCCCTTCTCCACCTGGACACATTTAAGGATAAAATATAAAACAAGGAAATAAGTTTCTTGGGGTGCCCTGGTAAGAGACAAGGGTGTGCAAGCCTGGAAAGACAAAGCAAGGACGCGCGGCCTGTGTGAGAACACATCTCTGCCAGCTGACTGCAGGAAGTACCAGTTACCCCAGAGGGGCTAGACAGGATGAGCTAGGAGGGGGGTCGGCAGTGGCGAAGACGAGGCGGCTGGCAGACAGCAAAGGAGATAGGGATAGTCTACAAGTTACATACAATGCATGAGAGTGTCAGAGGGGACGAGAGATCTGTCTCTCCCAGCAAGCAAAGAAAAGTCTCTCAGCAGGGGCAGGCGAGAACGGCTTGTGGGATCCCCTAAAAGTCAAGCCCTGCTGACCTACGAAGGGTCCCCGTAAGCTCCCCCTTGGCTGCAGCACTGTGCTCTCAGAGGAGTGCCTTACCTCCTGGGCTGCGGCAATGCCCTCCGTCTTGCACGCCAGCATCGCCTTCCCCACAGCATCGCGCAGGACCCGGTAGCTCTCGCCGCACACCAGGTACCGATCAATCTGGCTGGGCTGTTCCCTCTGCGGCCACAAACAAAACACCCAGCCGTGAACATGGGGCAGCTGGTGAAAAGCAAAAAGTGCCCTGCGGGAGTGGTTCATTTGACCCTGCATTGTGCAGAGGGAGGCAGCCCGCCTAGCTACGGTGAATGCTGTTCCCTGGATACTTGTGGCACTGGGAAAGCACCTCTGCTGCACCGGAAACCAAGTCCCGGCGCAAGGAAGCAATGCTGTTCTCCAAAGGCAGGTGCAGATCGCTGCACTCAGAGCTGCCCCGGCCCCGCGGCAATGACAGGACCAAACACATCACGCCCAGGGACAACAAGCTGAGAGAAGGAATGGGAACTGCCCCCCGGGACACAAACACTGCAGGAAGGTCAGTCCGGGAGAGGAGATGGGTATGCTTCACCTGCTGTTGAATAATTTCCTCGGGAAATATCCAACCAGACTCAGCCTCATTGGCAAGCCGCTGGGCACACTCCATCCCGTACTGGTTGGCGAGTCTCCGGACCAGGTAGATTCGGTACCAGTCATTCTCAGCGTGCGTGCAAAACCTCATTACCGCCTCCAGGTACTTCCGCTTCTCTGAGGCCTGCTCTGTGGAGAGAATACAGCCAAGTTCAGAGTCTCACCTCTTGCTAATCTGTTTCCCCAGGATGGACTACGTTGGTTGTTTTATTTCTGATTGAATGGGCTCCTGTTGCAATAATGTGGCATGCCCTCATTTCCCTGCCCTGCTCTCACATGAGAGAGAGAGAAAGGATTAAAGTAGAGCTGAAGCCTAAGCTACGATTTGCTTACATGCTCCGCTTGCACTTCTAGCAGACGGCACCCGCGCCCATCCCAGCCTACCTTGACATCCATGCAT